GCCCGCCAAACGCCCAGTGTCCAAAGCACATCTTCCGCATGCACGGCCGCCTTCTGCGAACCCGGCGCGTGGCTCTTAGCGCCAGACTCGCCCTCCCCACGACAAAAGCCAGGTGGTTTTTGTGGGGCGCGGATCATGGCCGCTCGCATCCTGTGCACCTTGGAGGATAAGGAGGGCCAGCTGTACACGCTTTCGGTGAAGAACACGTCTCTGGATGTCGAGCCATGGCTGGCGATGGAGGTGCCTTGCCGAGAGAGTTGCAACTTTTCGATTGCAAGGGTAGTTGGATTGGTTGGGTGGAGGATGGAGAGGGTGGGGCGGTAAGGCGCAGCAGGTTTTACCCCAACTGTCTGGCAGCAAGTCAGCGCCTGCGCTCTCCTCTAGAGCGCCTGACGCGGCGGTTAGCTTCACGCACGAGATGGGGACCTGCCGCCCCTGCTTCTTTTTCCGGGGCAAGGCGGATGGATGCTGGAAGGGTGCGCAGTGCGAGCGGTGTCATATTTGTACTCTTCCTGCAGCTCAGTCCCGCCTGGAAAGCTTTACGATTTTATTTTATTTTTCTCCACTGACATTCCGCTTTGTTGTCTGCCCAGATTGTGTTTTGCTCAGCGTCGCTTGCTTGGGTTTGCCCAGAAAGTGTTCCCTTTGACAACACGGGTTCTATCTTTTCCAGTCGGAAGGAGATGCACCAGCGCAGAAACCGCCTGCAGAGGGAAATGAGGAGAGCCAAGGCGGCTCAGGCAGCCGCCGTCCAAGCTGAAAGTCACGGTCCTAACAGGTCCACCTCTTCCGGGTCTTGACAAGTGGGGAATGCGCAGCCATGTATCCAGGCTGCCGCATTTCTTCCCATTTGCCAACGTGAGGCATTTTGCCTAGCAAGCGGTAGCCCGAAAACGCCTTGGAGCGTTCTCACTCGCCTGTTCAGTTATGCATTTCACTTTGAGCTCCTTGACTGGCAAAGCGAATGCTTTGCGCTGGTTGCAAGTCGGGGAACTAGGAAGCACGAGCAATCCTCGGATGGCTCAGATCCTTGATTTCTACTTAGCGAAATGTGATTAGTTTGTGCACACTACTGCGACCATGCATTGTCATGCATTCCTCTTGTGTTTGCTTGGACCACAGCTCCAACACCAGCCGGCAGTTTTTGTCTGCGCAGCACAAGGCCTTCTCCAATTTTTCTCCATCTGCAGAACACCACGAGGTGCGCACGGAACTGCAGATTTACTCCAACAGGTGCAATCTTCCGTCTCTGGCATTGCGCGACAACTCCGCGCATAGCTTGAACTCGGGGAAAGTGTAGAGACTTCCTGTGAGGGTGGCGAACAAGTCGTTCAACATTGTGTTTGTACCAATGTCGGACCCATGGTACAGCAAAAGGGGTGTAATGCCAACAAGAACGAGTGACCAACATGTCCTAGTGTTTGATCATTTGATTCCCCAGTGTTCCATGTTCAGTGGTCTCAAAAAAGGCAGCCAGTTTTCTGTTCCGTTGAACAGGCATGGGTTCCATGATGTTGATGTTGCAGGCAGGATGTCTCTGTTCCCGTGCACCTGGGGAAGTCTGGCTTCCGGGCTGGTAGGCACATATGAGCAATGCTTGGATGGCTCAACTTAGCGAAATGTGATTAGTTTGTGCACACTACTGCGACCGTGCATTGCCATGCATCCCCCTTGTGTCTGCTTGGACCACAGCGCCAACACCAGCACGATGCTGCAGACTTAATCCAATGAGCTGAGTGGAACTTGCTGCAATGACCTGCCACGTACAATGCAAGTGCGATACTACAGCTGCCGATGCATGCGTCGGAGGAAGAAAAATTGGACTTCCAAGAATGCTGATATAGGAATCAGATCACGGCAGTTAACTTTGCTTGTAGTGCCACTCAGCACGCGGCAAGTTGGCGTGCCTTGTCCGACGAGTGTGGGGAGCGACAGGTGCAATCTTCCGTCTCAGGCATTGCGCGGCAACTCCGCGCATAGCTTGAACTCGGGGAAAGTGTAGAGACTTCCTGTGAGGGTGGCGAACAAGTCGTCCAGCATTGTGTTTGCACCAATGTCGGACCCATGGTACAGCAAAAGGGGTGTAATGCCAACAAGAACGAGTGACCAACATGTCCTAGTGATTTATGAGCAAGAGCAAAGTTGCAATTGCTGTTGACTCGCTTGCCCCAAAGAGTCTTTGATCTTTTGGTTCCCTAGTGTTCCATGTCAGTCGTCCCAAAAAAGCCAGCCAATTTCCAGGTCCGTTGGACAGGCATGGGTTCCATGTTGCTGATGTTGCGGCAGGATGTCTCTTTTCACGTGCACGTGCACTTGGATGCTTAGCTTCCGAACTGGTAGGTATATCCGCACCAGGGAATATGAGCAATCCTCGGATGGCTCAGGATCCCTTGATTTCTACTTGGCGAAATGTGATTAGTTTGTGCACGCTACTGCGACCATGCATTGTCATGCATTCCTCTTGTGTTTGCTTGGACCACAGCGCCAACACCAGCCAGCAGTTTGTTGTCTGCGCAGCACAAGGCCTTCTCCAATTTTTCTCCATCTGCAGAACACCACGAGGTGCGCGCGGAACTGCATATTTACTCCAAGTTGGCGTGCCTTGTCCGACGATTGTGGGTAGCGACAGGTGCAATCTTCCGTCTCGGCATTGCGCGACAACTCCGCGCATAGCTTGAACTCGGGGAAAGTGTAGAGACTTCCTGTGAGGGTGGCGAGCAAGTCGTTCAACATTGTGTTTGTACCAATGTCGGACCCATGGTACAGCAAAAGGGGTGTAATGCCAACAAGAACGAGTGACCAACATGTCCTAGTGATTTATGAGCAAGAGCAAAGTTGCAATTGCTGTTGACTCGCTTGCCCCAAAGAGTCTTTGATCTTTTGGTTCCCTAGTGTTCCATGTCAGTCGTCCCAAAAAAGCCAACCAATTTCCAGGTCCGTTTGGACAGGCATGGGTTCCATGTTGCTGATGTTGCGACAGGATGTCTCTTTTCACGTGCACGTGCACTTGGATGCTTCGCTTCCGAACTGGTAGGTATATCCGCACCAGGGAATATAAGCAATCCTCGGATGGCTCAGATCCCTTGATTTCTATTGATTTCTACTTGGCGAAATGTGATTAGTTTGTGCACACTACTGCGACCGTGCATTGTCATGCATTCTTATTGTGTTTACTTGGACCACAGGGCCAACACCAGCTGGCAGTTTGTATTCTTTGTATTCTCGGTGGCTCCCAGCCATCCCACGAAAAGTTTAACTGTTAGCGGGGGATCTGAGGACAGCCCAGATTTACGTAGGACAAGGTCTTCTCTCTGCAGAACACCACGAGGTGTGCACGAAACTGCAGATTTAATCCAATGTGCTGAGTGAAACTTGCTGCGGTGACCTGCCATGTGAAATCCAAGTGCTAGACTACAGGCACTGCTGCTGATGCATGCGTAGGTAGAAGAATGGTTGGTGTCCAAAGGGTTCTGATATAGGGATGAGATCACGGAAGCAGACAGCTTAGCTAGAAGACATCGTAGTGTTAGCACGCAGATTGTCGCACTTTGGCATACTTTGGACGATTGTGGACAGGGGCCAGTGCAAGCTTCTGTTTGTATTGCTTCGCAACTCCGCGTTTTCCTTGACCCCCGAAGTGCAGAGACGGCGGGTGGGTGTTTCTCGCCAAGGCCTGTCAAGAGCCGAGCCCCTTTGAATTTTGATTTTTGCGAGGCTTCCCCCTTGGCTGAACAGGGGCCCGGTTTCCCTTTGGGGCAACACCTCAAGGTTTTTGATGTGTCCTGGAGGACCCGAGTCGCTTGATTTTCTTGCGGGTCTTGGTCTCAAATGTGTGGGGGGGGGTGATAAGGTCCTTTACATGGCGACTTTCACTACATGGGAGAAATTGCCATGGTCATTTTGGGGCCAGGAACATGGATGGAGTATTTATCAGGGCCCGGGTAACCCCGGGCACGGCGCTCTCGAGGAGCTTTCGCCGCAAAGGCTGCCGCCGCTGCCACTAGCGCCGCCGGTGCCGCGGAAGCCAACCCGCCGCGAGGCGGGAGATTTGGAGCGAATCGAGAGCTTCAAACGACCCAACGAACTCGGGGCGGGCCACTGGCACACAGAGCTTCAAACAACCAGAATAACCAGAGTAACACACCCACCCACACACACACACACACATGTTTGGGCGGTTTTTGAACATCGCCTTTGACGAACTCGAAATGAGTCTCCTTTTGCGATCGGTTGACACGTGAGCCAAAGAGCGCCGCCAGCGCGCGCTCCGGCCGTGCCGTTCGTCAGGAGATCCGCGCCGAGCTGCTCTGGCGCCAGGCGGCGCTGAGGCGACTTTCCTCGGGCCAGTTTTGTGGCCAGGATGAGTTCTCCGAGGTGGTTGTTTCCGAAAGGAAACAACCAGGGGTGGAAACAGCCACCTTTCTTTGGCCAAACAACAGGCCGAGGGGCGTTTTACTAACCACTTGTTTTGGCCAAAAACGGCCGAGGGTCATACTGCCACACCCGGCCTTCAGGGAGCCAATGAGTGGCCAGCTTAAGATCAAGTTTGTGTGCGTGCGTGTCAAAATGGGGGGGGGGGGGGATGGGTTTCCCCCAATGGGTGGGTTGCCCTTTAAACTAAAAGGGAACCCTTAGACCAAAAGGGTGCCAGTAAGAAAACACACACACACACACATGCCCAAATGGCAGATGTGTATCACCAGGATAAGATTTTCACAGGATTGGAAACCTTCAGGCTTGGGCGGGCATGGTGAGGGAACATTGTTTGATCAACAGTGTCACGTGTGCACGCTGATGCTATTTTGGCTGCAAGCCAAACTCGGAAAGCATCAGCATCCAGATTTGTGTGTTTTCCCATGGCGAGCCTCTCCCGTGAGATTATGGCTGCACAGATTGAATGGCTGGTGAGAGAGGGATGAGAGAAAAGGAAAGGGTGATAGGTGACATCTCTCATTTCCCTTTCCTTTCTATCTCTTGGTATCTTCGCGCGGCGGTGCAATTCTCCTTTCTGAGCTGTGATCAAGACTTGCCCTTCATTGGCAGCTAATTGAGGATAACCAAGAATATAGACTGGGAAGGGAGAATTGGTATCTTCGCGTGGGTGTAATCCCAAGAGCAGGAAAGAAGGAAATTGGAATGTTGGACCTTGCTTGACTGGCGGTTGAACTCAGAGAATGATTCGCGAGTACACGGTCAACCTTCATTGGTAAGCATGTCCTTCCTCACTCGCCAATTTCCCCGCTGCCTTCGTCATCAAGGTGGACACCTTCAGCCGGGAGGCGGGCATCAAGTCCACGATTTGGCCTTCTACTTTGTGACCCACAAGGAGGCGCTCACTGCTGGGCGCGCAGTGGCCGAGGCCGCCTGGCAGGTAGGCCCCGCTGTGGATGTTTCTCCGGTCAGAGGCAGCCGTGGTCGTGAAGCGTTTCGGCCCCTACGATCCGGGCTCCCCAGCGGGCCCGTCAGGCCCACCAGGTTCTTGCAGCGGCGCTGGAGGTATCGTCCCTGAGACCAGCTGGAGCTACTACGCGCAGCCAATTTGCTGCACATTGTCCAGCAGGTCTGCAGGGACTTTGAAATCTGCTCTTGCTGCTTGGAAGGTCGCCGCAGCTGCCAACGGGGTAGTTGCTCAGGTGGAGGCGCATTGACTTGAGGAGTTGGCCGTACGTCGGTCGGAGATATTGGTCCTCCTTGCTCGGTGCCCTGACCTTTAAAAATGGCACCTTCAGCAAGTTGACCAGCAAGGGGTAGGAGGTTTTTTTGGAGTTGCTACTCTTGAGCAGGATCTGGGTGGCGTGACTTGAAGGCGCTGGTGGAATCTTGGCCGCTTCATGGAGGTGATGTTGGGGTGGCCCTGGATGAGCTTGGCTACCCTCTTACTCTGAGGTACTCCACTGCGAAGTTTCGCCAAGGTGATGGTTGGGCAGCACTTCAGCGAGGCCATGCGGACTGCGGATCCAGGGTGCGGCCCGCGGTGCGTCACGCTGTTGCAAGGGCGGAGACGCCAGGAGTCAGCCCAAAGAAGCTGGGGGCTCCCTTCAGCAGCGGAACCTAGGAGGAACAGGGAGGTAGCCGGTCCAGGTCTGCGAATGCGAGGCGGAGAAAGAGATGTGAGGCCTTCCTGTTGGTGAGTGGCCAACGGAGAGTCCGTATATGTTCACTGTAAGGCCGGGGTTCGCCGCGCTGGCGGAACGGCAGCAGGACAAGGATGCCACGCTGACTGAGAGTTCGAAGCAGACCTTTCACATGGTTGAGCAAATCCTCAGTTTGCAGCCTTCCCTTCACCACACCGCTTTCGTGCGGCCTTTGACGCAGCACAGGATGGACCCCGTCAGGGCTCGGCTGGATGTCTCTCCTGGTGGACGCCAA